TCAAGGTTATAGGTTAACTTACAGATTTTACAGGAAATACTAAGAAGTAAGTTTTGTCAGGCCAATATTCAAACTTTCATTGGGGTTTTCTTGGTATTGTCAAGTCATTTGACCAAACTGTTTCAGGTCTGCAAGTTATTCTGTATGTTTTCACACTTATATAGCCTAGCCGAAAAGTGTTTTTACATATTATAATCTAATTATGGAAGCCTACGAAACTACAGCTACCTATGGGGCATATTAAGGGGTATTAGATGGTTAATAGAGGATAATAAGAGAAGGTACCTTTGCGCTTATATCTGATCAGTTATTGTCTCGTTAAAATTTGGTGCATATCGATTCATTACTTCCCAAGATACTTAACCTCCTTTAGACTCTTAACAGTGGTACCATAAACCTGATAAGTAGATTGGAATGAGTATTTGGAAGTTATAATGACAGGTGCTAGGGGTGTTTCTAGCAACAAGGCGGTTAATTCTGCTGATCGGGAATGAGCGGTTTGACCCCTGTGAATGTTCAAGACCATTTCCGGACTTTTAGATAACTGTATATTTGTTCACATAAAACTCTAAAATGTGTTGATATTGAACTCTTATAGTTTTAGTACACAATTTGTCTAGACATTTACTAAAACTTTAACAATCGTCAATCACTATTTTAAACGATGGGGTATACGGTATACCGACATCCTTCTCGGAACATCAACAATATGTATAGGTCTAACCACAAAATCTGATAAGGAAATGTATTTCGATCCCGTGATAACAAGTAAGCGAAGTAGTATGCACGAGTAAACTTAGTATCTTGGTCGCTTCCTTTTTTTCTGGGCTAGCTTGACGAGGATCTGGGGCCTGATAGAGTGGGCGTCACTTACCGTCCCAAGGAAGGCACCAATTGCCTGGGATGCACCAACAGGCGGGGATCAATGGTAAGTAACCACTGGGAACTTGACTCCTGTGTCAATCGTTCTTTATGAACATAAAGATTGCAGGGGTAGGTTTCTCGTTCAAGTGTTGGATATAGCGGAAAAGTAGAGTCGGTTAAAGACGTCTTGATATTAGGATTGATATTAGGATGAAGTGAAACAAGTTAAGCAAAAGATATTCAGGAATTATTTTATTTGGAAGGCTAATGCATAGAAAATAGCATAGATCAACTGCTCTCGCGGCTTGCACGGAGGCAATGATTTAAGACTCTTAATCTGTAGAAAAGAGTTCGCAGATTTACTCCTTCACTGACTGACATACGAGTATCAATGCAGAGCTGAAACCAGTGACGGTATAAACTTGAAATTTTGCAAATATATCCACCATAAAGCGTAAGTTTGAAATAAGAAATGGCTTTTGAAGCTGCACCCCGTAAGAGGCTGAACTTGGGGGATTGAGACACACGAAAAATATGTTATACAATATTTATGGAAATCCGTCCCATAGAGGAGTGAAAAATCTATATGTAGAAGTGGAGCAACTGAAACTGAACGAGGAAAATTGAAGTTTTGCAAAGGTCCTTCATAAATCGTAAGTTAGCACACAAGAAGGGATTTCTGAGCATTCATTCCTTAAGAGGTTGGAATACGGGGGTGTGGGTGTGTATGAAACTCTTTATCATTTGGATGAATTTTCTTTAAGCCGAAAAAATACTCCTCGATATACATATAAAATATGTTATTCTACATTTTCAAAAATTCATCTATTTGAATGGTGAAATCTGTTTGCGTTTAAGAAACACGTACAGCTGCAAAACCAGGTCACAACAAGTGTACAACAGCTGGTGCTAAGTTCATCATGTAGAAAAACCTACGAAATGTCAAAAAAATCGACGAAATGACACTTTTCAAGATACGTAATACCCGTGCCGAAACCGCTGAAGGTAGAAACTTGAACTTTCGTAGAGACGTTCTTGATAAAATGAGTTGGCACTAAAAAGAAATGTGTGAAAATTCGTCCCCTAAGTGAAATAGAGGTGGGAGTTTGTATGGAACCTTCGAAGAGATTCGATTGATTTACTTAAAAGTGTGCACAGATACTCAACAGCACGAACTAATGTGATTCAGCATTTTTTTGAATTTCGTTCTCTAAAAGGAGAAAATAACGAGTGGAGATTTTCCCATTTTTTAATTCGTTTTAGGAATTATTTTATCATTAAGTCGCAAATCATTCCGTCCTAATCGAACCTCATCAGTCCAGTTTTTTATTCGTCGACTATGTGTTCCCTTCACTGTTGTTTAAAAACAATTTCAGCAGCAATCTCGCCGACTTAGTAAGTAACTATTTTTCATCCTAATTGTTATTTGTTGCTATTGTCAATCATTGTTTCCAGCTCCAGACGATGAAGACATAGATCTTGGAAAGCTGGAGTTTAACTTATAAGAGTGTACTTTTGTAATACTTGCCCTCTACCCAAAGAAATTCAACTATATTTTCTCCTAACAGTTAAGGCAATTAACTATGAATACTATATATATATATATATAACTTTTTTCTGAGTAATGCGCAGTCTGAATTTCTACTTCCCAGAAATCTACAATACGGAAAGCTATACCGTCCCATTAGAGAACTACACCATGTCAAAAATAGCAGTTGCAGCCCGTAGGTAAACCAGTTTGCGCAATAGGTACAGAAGCCTAGGAGTAAATTTTTAATAGGCGTCTTCGGTATTCTGCGTCAGCATAGACACGATATACTTCTGTATCGCGCGAGACGACCTTCAGTACGCCATATAGAATATAAAAGTAAAATTGGGAAATTTGTGACCTGGAATAGTTCTGCGCTAAGGTGACGATACTATATTCAACCTTACCAAATATTACGGTAATTGATTTTTACTACAAATGCATAGATATTTTTTGAGCAATACTGTGTTTAATTATTTATGAAATTCCAGACCACAAACACTTCAAGCTATCAATTACAATTGTATTGTGTTGCTGAAATGAGAAATTTTTGTGGATATGGTGAATAGCTTGTAAGTTGTAGACTTGTAACAATTTTTGTGTGTGCCATGGCTTTGATTTACGTTCGAAAGTGTTTAGTCCTATGACGATCCTTTTCCACCTTATCCAACGCTACATATTTATTATAGAAGCATCTTCAATTGCAACTTTAACAGTAACCTTAGCCACATTGAACTAGTTTGACCTGCTTTTGCATTTTGTTATTAACTTCTAACGATTCTAGCTAATATTAATTTTCAGGTTGAATTGATTGACATCATAAGCTATGGAAATGTACAACTAACCACTAAGTTATAGAAATGAAACTGCGCTAAACATAAATTAATATTGTACTTCACGGATGTCGTTCTTATGGTCTTATAATAAATCTGAGTTTATTAAGTACTTACGTACTCAATGATGCACTAATGGGTAGGCAGCATCAACATACTATAGCTTATGATGAATAAATTTTAGTTATACTCAGTTTTGCAATTTACTATCTATTTTGGTTGATCAACTATTATTCTTTATAAAAAATAAGAGTGCACGAAGATATGATAAAAATGTTATAGTATTATATTACTATAAACTGATTTTTTAGGTGTCCTCCTCCGGTAAACAAAATTTCTCACGTGCTACATCCATCAATCATTCGAACGTTCTTTCTATCATCATTAGAGGAGCCAAAACATACACTTTAGTCAGATAAACGTTACAACTCGCCGAAGGGTAACTCGGTGCTAATATTTTTCAACAATTTTTATCAACAAATTTCAAAAGTTTTTTCTTTCGCTGCGGATCGTGTTTGGATTTTTTTATAAACTTGATCAGAAATGGTCTAATAGCGTTTCTCTAAAATTGACTGTTTTCGAGTTATAAGCATTTCGAAGTCTGGAAAAACCTAAAAATGACCATTATCATAACTCAAAAGCTCTATAAAAAAGTACAATTCTTGAGGTAGTTAGGTGCTTAAAGTTCAAACCTTGTCCTGCGAAACCTCGATGCATACTTTGACCTTAGTATTTATGTAGAATGGCTATTTTATCAAACCTTAAGTTGCTTGTAGCTCAAAAGCGGTTAACTTTAAAGATACCGTATTTGTAAAAAATATTGGTAATTATTCAAGTAAATCGAGTCTATTACCCCGTCTATGCAATCACTTTCAAACACGTATTAAATTATGGCGACATTTCTTTTTCACCCGACTGCCCCACAAGGAGATATATCTTGTTCGTGCGTGGGTATGTTTCTAGACAAAAAATTATACTTCATGGTCAACAGGCCAAACGGCTTGATAGATTCTTACATATGAGGTGTTGTTAGGTTCTTCTGAGCACTGCGAGTGTCACTGATTATATTGAATCGTATGAAAGCAGAGTGACGGAATTTGATAAAAGGCCTTGAAGTTCCTATTTTACGCGATAACCTCAAATGGCTTGATGGACTTTGACAGATGAGGTGTCTCTCGACAATGCGACACTGGGGTATACCAAAATGTTATTAAACCAGAACGGTGAATTCTAATCGAAAAGTTCAACTTGGAAATTCCCGTTCTACGGCCTTAAACGGCTTGATGTATTTTAACATAACAGGTGACCCTAGATATCTCTTTATAGTACAATTATTAAATCCTCATTGTTTTAAGTTATCGTAATCGGATTCTTTGTATTTTCTAAAAGTATACTCATTTATCGTATTACTGAATCTGGCAGTCAAGAATAGTTAGCTCCGGGCTCATTTATGGAATACATCTGGGACCAACTCGAAAGTAATATAGTTATTATTTTGGATTAGGAATAGACGTACAGCACAGCCTTAACATCGTCGCGGAGTATGATACTTACAACTTTATTGGAATATATATCTTTTCAAAAAATTACGCAATAACTATTCAACCATTTTTTACTTGTAATTTGAAAAAAATTCCGGTGCAGTAGAAATGTTAGTATGGTTTTTTTCAGTAACTGTGGTTTTATTTAACTGCTAGTGAAACATGGAACATAAGACACGTAAACTTGCAAAATTGTAAACTAGATCACTTTTAAATCGCGTCATTTTACTTCAGTATTCTATCAACATGGGCGATGAAGCCAAGGACAACCACGATCAACAGATCGAAAGGGCCGAAATTGCTAATCTCGTACGATCCAGGATGGAGAGCCTGAATCTGCCTACCATAGACTACAATGACGTTAGCGAGAAGAGGAACAGCCTTTCTTACGTCATTATCAACCCCAGCTGTGACCTGAAGTTAGAAGAAGGAGATATCATGTAAGTGGCACCATTGATTAACACACTAGTTACTTCCGTGTCACCGGCAATTACTCTTGCTTACAACTACAAGTATACAGGGTGTTTCAAATTTGACCCTCACCATTGGGTCTCGGAAACTGTAAGAGATATGAAGTCGCTTAAATGGGTCAAAGTTGCGCATTTAGGTAATCAACAAAATGCCGCTTAGCAATTTTAAAAATTCAAGGTACTTCCGGAAAGAGACGGAAAAACTTACACTTAATCCTGATGTTATTTGTAGTAGGATTTCATAATAAATTGCACATGATACATTGCCACTTTTTCTCATCTACAAGTTAGCATGATTAGAATTTCAATATGACATTTCGTTTCTTGTCCTCCAGCATCAACTTTATTTTTTCTTATGGACGCCATACCGGATTTTTGAACATATGAATAGTTTTTAACTCTGATTCCAAAAATGTATAACACGTCATACATTGATGCTGCTAAACCTTAATTATTTCAAAAAGAGCAGAATTTACTAGGACGACCTGGAAATTATCAGATAATCATTTGTTTCGCATACCAGATTTATCCCAAAACCACTTTTGACCACATATGAACGCTAGATTGGAATGTTGTGTATTTAAATAGACTTTTCGGTCATAAATTCAATGATATATTTCCTTAGTTGGCCATGAATTTGTTGTTCGATGAAAATTAAAAGGGAGTAAGGCGGTATCGTGAAACCTGACTCCAAAATGAAAACTTTATTGTTGTAATAACAATAATAATCTTAAATAAGCAAAAATACATCCTAGCAGATGTTCAAAATGCTGTCCGTTATTTAGTAGGCAAAGCCCGGCTATTCTCTGTACATTGTTCACTGCTCGATTTATTTCTCTTCTTCTCAGTCTTCCAAACTCTGTTGCCTCATTCAATTCAAGGTCTGGTCTTGTATACGAAACAAATGAAATCTAATTTCAAGGCCTACCTAGAAACGTCTGTTTTTCATTAATAACTAGGGTTTTGTTGTTGTTAGTTTAATTTGACAATATCAATGTATCGCATATTATACATTGTTGAAATCAAAATCACAAAAACTCTATTCATGTGTCCAAAAGTCCAATATAGCGCCCATGAGAAAATATAAAATGCTGGAGGACAACAGGCGAAACTTTATGTTGAAACTCTATACCATCTTGTAGAGGAGAAGAAGTAATAATTAATGTGCAATCTATTCTGAAATCCCACTACAAATAAAGTCAGAAAAAAATAACAGTGTTTTCGATAAATTTGATTTAATTTTTTAATGGTTATCTGATAATCTCAAGGCCTATCTTGCAAATTCTACTTTTTTCAAATAACAAAGGGCTAGCAATGTCAGTGTATGACATATTATACATTTTTAAAATAGGAATCAAAAACTCTATTCATGTGCCCAAAAATTCAATATGGCACCCATAAGAAAAAATAAAGTTAATGTTGGAAGGCAAGAGACGAAAATTTGTATTGAAGTTCTAATTATACCATCTTGCATCTTGTAGAGGAGAAAAAGTGCTCATGATAATGTGGAATTTATTTTGACATCCCATTATAAATGAAGTCAGGAAAAAGTTAAAACCATTTTTGGAAAATTTGGCCTTTTCAGTCTATCTCCGGAAGTACTTCGAAACTTTCTAAGCGGCATTTTATTGATTACCTAAATACGCACCTTTGCCTACATTTAAGCAACTTCGTGTCTCTCGCAGCTTCCAAAGATCCCAGTAGTGAGGGTCGAATTTGTAACACCCTGTAGACCTGTCGACCAACGTTTGTATAAGCGTTGCCATTTCTCCAAGTTCTGTCACAGATTATGTGAAATAGTCTTCTTCCCCAGTGATAAAGTCAATGACGGGGGGATGGGGGATGATCTTTCCTTGGAAGTCATGTTTAAAAATTAAAAATTTTCTTCAAAAGGAGAATTTCGCCTAGTTTAGCACTTTAGCAGGGGATTTGGCATTTTCTTAAAGAATACAGTGCTGGTCCAAAAAAATTTTCAATCGCCTATTGCAATACGGCTAAGTAACAAGGGACTCAGTAATAGGACTAAACGGGAACAACCAAACCTATATTGGAGCGGACGCTCACAGTGGTCGAAGATACTGAAAAGCTGGCAAAAAATACAATTACTACGGCATTTATACAGTTTTCTGTACAGTATAGTTTTTTGGGTCACTGATTTCAAATCTTGTTTCTATGAGAGCAATTGAAGGTCTCTTCAAGGTCATATCAAGGACATTTTCAAAAGAAGATGAACAGTTCAACCCACCCGCTTGTTTTTAGGTTTTTCTGTTCACTAAGTACGAATCAGAAGTCAGTTAGTAATTATGAGTACATGTGAAGCTTATTTCAACATCACTTCAAGGACAAATTTTAAATAAGTCTAGCATTCAAAGTTTTAGCGGTCGTTGGATCCAAATCAGAGATTAGTTTGTCTCTAGGAAGGCACTTGGTCACTCGGATGACAAATTCGGAAAAGTTTCAATATAACGGGATAATCGTTTTTGTCCACCTGACATAATATGGCAGTATATAAGGTGAGCGGGCAGGTCTGGTACACGGACGGCTCGGTCACCGAAGAGGGCTCAGGTGCTGAGGTGTCTGGGCCTAGAACTAGGCTATCTCTACCTCTCAGTGGATACACCAATATTTTCTCACATTCTGGAGGAGGGTGGGCCTAGGAGAAGAATAACAATCTTATCCGACAGCCAGGCTGCAATGAAAGCACTAAGTGCCTGTAAGATTACTTCGAGTCTTGTATTGCAATGCAGGGTGGCTCTGGATTGCCTCGCAGCGAGGCATCCGGTATCGTTAATATGGGTACCGGGGCATGCTGGAATAAGGGGCAATAAGACGGCGGACACTCTGGCGAAGACAGGATCAGCCAGCAAGCTCGTTGGTCCTGAGCCAGCTCTAGGAGCGACCGCGCATAAAGCTAGGAGGAAAATGGAGACGTGGGTTGCAAGACAACACTCTCAGAAATGGAGAAGTATCTCCAGACATCTCCGCCAGGCACGAGAACTCATTGAAGGGCCCAGTGCTAAGGATGGACACTTCTGCCTATCTCTGGATAGAGCCAACCTAAGGTTGCTGGTGGGACTGTTGTCTGGCCATAACACGTTATGGCGTCACCTGCACGTGACGAGGGTGGCTGAGGATCCCTTGTGTGAACGCTGCATGGTAGAGGAAGAGACCTCGGCGCACTTTTTGTGTCGCTGTGAAGCTCTGAGCTACTATAGGCAGACTATACAGGGGTCCATTACTTTGGACCCTCAGGACGTCAAGGAGCTTGGACTCAAGGCGATTCTCAACTTCGCTAAAAGGGCGACGCTTGTGATTTTAGGATTGTAGAGGTGCATAAGCGGCCTATGCACTGGCTCCTTATGGTGGCCGGAATGCCTCTGATTTCAAGATTCATTCATTCATATAAGGTTGAATTTCCCAACAGTTCGCGAAAGTTAGCAATAACTGATACTATATTTTATCTGGTAGTATTCAAGGCATCACAAAAAAATATATTCCAATTGAACGGAACCTTATTAAAAACCTCTTTGAATAATAGTAGTATAAAGAAGTAAAGCTGAACATACTCGTAGTAATTCGTTCAATTTACGTACATGAAAGCAACAATAAGATTTCTATTACATCAAATGAAAGTTCGTACTCTCTTTATTATGTTCCACATTCAGGTGTTCAAATATATTCAACACACAACACAACGGATGAATCAGAACCTCTCCAATTTTGCCGCTACCGTGGTAAAGGTAGTCTAAGTAAAGTTGCTCAACTTATTGTTTAAAGAATTGACTTTAAAGTAGATGATAACTTTCATTCATTTCCGATGCTTTCTTATACTTTTTTTGCCATGTTTTCGCATAGATATACCACTGTGGGCCGGTACAGTTAATTGGGAATGGTATGAACTTACTTGTATCTGGTGTTATGAGATCCAAGCAAAGAAACAAACAAAATGACTCTCTTAGCAAGATAATCGATCTGCACAAGAAGGCGTAGCAACTATAACAAATACAGATTTGTTAACCGCTATTAAAAATCCTGAATTGATTCCCTTAGAATAAACTTGACCTAGCTGACCTAGCAATTTTATTACAGCTACATCGTACGACCGAGTCCATTCTCCGCCCAGAAGACATTTGAGCGTCACAACAGCAGAAGGAAGTCCAACATCAGCTTCTGTTCCCAAACCCTGCTGCAACAGATGTCTACCAGTCAGGCAGGCAGTCGTAGAGGGTCTGGTCTTGGGTTGAGTGGCTATCAATCTCCCAGACCTCCGCCTCTGTCTAGCACTAAGGCAAACTCGCTGTCTTTGCCTGACAGTCCCACAGTTGCTGGATATCAAAGAGGAAGGTCAAATAGGTACGATGACATTTATGGAGCCTCTAGACGGGCAAGATTCTTACAGCTTTATATAGGTTGTAAATTGAATATGTACGATAAATTTAACAGGATTATAGGAGGGACACGCTATATATTTTAAGATACACAAAAACTAAAAACTATTTTTCGAAAACTAGCTTATAATGAATATGATCATGGTGTGCACTGCTGCGGATGCTACCCCAAGAGTGTGCCTCTATAGCCGCATATGTGCAGAGAGAATCTTCAATTAGCCGCTAAACTTTAGCAATGTTTTCTGGATCATGGCCTACCACTACGTTCATCATCAGCCAATGAAACCCCTCTTTTAAATTCCGCATACCAGCGAAACACACTTGGCCGGGACGGAGCTACTTTGCAAAATGCCTGTTGTAACCGTTCGATACATTGATGTTCAGTTAAACCGACTTAGTAAATCATAGCGCGATAACTCTCTCGAGACAACTCCATGTTTCCTCTTAAATTTGTTTACACCACGTGTCCTGTAAGACGCCTGCGAATGCACTGAATGCGGCGACTTACTAATAAAGGGCTGCTCTTTCTAATAGTGCACTGTTGTAACTAGTATAGTTAATACGCATCTCAAAATGTACAGCGTGCCCCTCGTATTATTGAGTAATTCTAAGACAAAGAGTGCATATACATAAACCTCAAATTCTTAGTTCCCAAGATACAGGGTGTTAAAATTAAAAAAAAAAATCTCGTAGATATCTTAAATATCCTTTAGGTAATTTTGTTGTCATTTGGCAGTGATATTTATAAAATTAAGGAGATAATGTAGTCCTAACTCGATTAAATTTATTAAGTCCAGTGGCGTCTCGAGCGGGATCTGAACGAATATGTGTGATAAAAAATACACGCTACTGACTTTTGTGCAATATTTATTATGTTTTTTGGATTAAACAAATAGAAGTACGCCTTCTCTGTCTCTTGATTTTTTTTTTCGTATCGTGCTTAGTTTTCGAGAAAAAAAGCCCACTTGATTCTATAACCTTGGACCACACAAGGAATATGGGTAAAAGTTTATTTTGGAAATTAATAAAATTTATTAGTTTAGTTGTTAATATAAAGTAATTTAATTTAGTGTTTATTTGTTGTTGTTACACAATTAGTAATATAAAATTATGAAACAAATAATAATTTTTGTGGTCTAGGGATATGCAATTAAGTGGACTTTTTTCTGGTAAACTAAACAAGATACGAAAAAAATCAATAGTTAAAGAAGTTGTATTTATATTTGCTTAATCCAAAGAATATAATAAAAATTGCACTGGACTTTATAAATTTGATCAAGTAAATATCACCGCCAAATTACAACAAAATTAGGTAAGCCATATTTAAGAAATTTTAGAAAACCATTTTTTTAACTTTAACACCCTATGCTTATATGAACTTTTTATCCTAAAATTACTCAAAAAATCGTCCGTTAAGTTTATGGTACATACTTGATTAATACCCTGTACAGTTGCAATAGACTAGCCAGCAATATACGACAATATTTTTAGTTTGGCCGGACTAAATTGCTACACATATTTGACATTTCCGGGCCTATTTTCATATATTTTTCTCATCTATTGCGTAAAAAACCTATATAATGTCAAAAGACCGATAAAATGTCAACTTGTTGACTAGAAGCTGGTAGTCCGCGACTGCGGAACTGTTAGAATTCTACCTAATGTCATGGAAGTTAAGTAATGTAAGCTGCCGTGGCACACACAATTCAGGGACGCTGGCGACTCACTTTTTTCACTTTTTCAGATCCATTTTGATTTTACTCACTTTTCAGTGAAAGTATTTACTTTTCTCACTACTTTCGCTCTCGCTGTATATATTTTAGTCTATGAGCGTCCTTCTCTCAAGCCCCACAAAATTAAATGAAGTGAACATTTTTTATAAAGATTAACTATCACAAAGTTGTTCACGTACACGTCCTCCCCAATCTAAGACAATATGTATTACATGAGAAATTACTAGGATTTGTTGAAATCTACATTGACTTTCAAGTCAACTTTGCGTGCTTTTAGACGCTGTATATATATTGGGTATTTCAATTTCGGTAATGGTAAGCAATACAATACGAAGTCGTTCATGAAGGCAGAATTGCGCATTCAGGTAACTAATAAAATGCTACTTAGATAGTTTGGCAATTCAGAGTATTTTCAGAGAGGGAGACGGAAAATACGAATTTACCCTAAACCGTTTTCATTTTCTCCTGGTTTAATTTGAGCTGGGATTTCAATATAAATTGAATTAACTTTTCACAAGCTTTGAACAAGTAACTTGTAATATGTTAGTTCGTTAGTATGCATGTGTGGGGCAAGTATTGAAATTGAATTTTGAACCAATTAACCTTAATCGATTAAGCTGAAAGTGTGAACGCCTGTCTGGTTTGTATGACAATACATAATGAATTAACTGACACCATTTTGAACCTAATATGGCAAATGAAAGAGCTTGATGAAAGAAACACAGCAAGCAAACTGACGTCATTCTAAATCCAATATGACGGAGCCGCAATTTGGCGATTTATAATTTCCATAGTCACCCCTATATGATTATCGACTGTAAGGGCTTGATAAGAGGCACTGTGAGCAACGTGTCTTCATTCTAGATCCAATATGGCGGCTGTCGCAAAATATCGATTTATAATTTCCATAGTCACCCTCATATTATAAATATCAAATGGAAGGGATTGATGAAACACACTAAGCAAAGTGGCGTCATTCTAAACCAATATGGTGGACGTTCAATATAACAATTAATTATGACATGGAGAGGATCGAATAGGGCCTCGTTTGATTCCTAATGACAAGTACGCTAATCTTGCGGTCTGATGATTAAGTTAGTCACCTATTGTGTAAAAAATTCTCATCTATATTAAAATATCAAATTTCAACTTTTTAACATTAGATAGTTCGTTAGGATGTAGGTTCAATCTATTTGGAAAGAATACTTAATAGATATAAATACGTCACCCATATTATAAGAATTTGTTATATTTTTATGTTTCTTTTATTCATTTTACTGTAAAATATGTATACATATAAAGAATTATTTTTGCTTACGTCAATAAAACAGTAACAAAGACCTTATCAGTGTTGTAATTCTTGTTTTCTCACACCTTCTTATTTATATTATCCGTTTGAATTGGGCATTATGATATTCAATATATCATGAAATTAGCTCACTTTTTTATATATAAACTCACTATTTCTCACTACTTTTTTTTACTTAAATTCATGCCTTTGGCCGCCTGCACTCCTGACAGTTTTTTTAGTCATTGTTGTCTCATTTTCAAAGTCTTCTGATGAGGAATTCTGAAAAATGTACCTACGCATTATAGACAATATTGCCAAGAGATAATCGAGAAATATAATCGGACAGGTTGCAATATATCCATGATATGGGAAATAGTTGCCCTAGTTGTAACAACAAAAATGTTTCTCATTTAGAGGCAATACATTTTTTTAAGAGTTTAAGATATCATTAAATTATTTGTTTTATAAACAACTGAGCTCCATAGACAGTCAAAATGCCAGTAAAGTTCGTATTCAAAGACTTGTGGTTTAAGATGAGGTGAGTACTGTACTCCCATAGCTGCTATTCAAATTTTCAGCTAATCATTCAAGTCAAGTCAGCCTTAGGTCCGTTAATATTTTTAAATTTCTTGGCTCCGGTAAATTATTTCATTAATTGTTATAGATACATTCAATAATTTACCTACGGTCAGTTATAGGGTAGCTAAAAATAGAGAGCAGTTTTTAAGTAAACATGAATGTTGGGTGTCAGTTATTGAAGCCGTTGTCTATGAACGAATATGTAAATAAGGACAGGGCTCGTGGTCCATGAGCTTAGCTGAATTAAAAGATAACGAGCACCGAAGTTACTACGCCCTAGTACATAAAGAAACCCTTGCGCTAAAAAGTAGGACTTGACACCCGAAAAGACTATTCATGAGGTAAAGTGTTCGGTTGTAAATACGGCGTTTTTGTTATGTAACTACTAATAATAGCATAATTTTGTATGCTTTTGAATGCACTACTGCTGATCGACAAGCATGACAAGTATTAACTTACATTTTTCGTTTCCAGTTTACGGGTTATTGATGACATACTACTGCGAAGGTCCAATTCATTGAGACAAGGCTTACCTAACCTAGGCAATGCGAGGAGGAAAAGCAGTCTGGAAGACATTGGGCTGTCACACTTCTCGACAAATTATTCCAATCCTATCAAGATAGCACTTAATGGAAGTATTGGTCTTGAGGTGATAGTTGTTTTAAAAATGTATTACTATGGAAAAACTTTTTCAATATTCTGATTAATAATCACTTCCCACGCATAAGCGAAGGAGTATTCAGTTAAGTTTTTTGCCGTTTCAAGACGACTAACTTAGGAAAATTCATACAACTCATTTCGATCGCTCTGTCTGTCAATCTGTCGGTCTACCAATCTGGCGGCGTCTTACTGAAAACACATAATCTCAGAAAAGTCTTTGATTGAAATAAAATTTGAAATGGGATGTGGTGTGGAGACGTAGCAGATTAGTTTTATTTTTAAAAATCAGAGACTCCCATTTTGAATAATTTCCATTGTTTTTTTTGTCAAGTTTGTTGTATTCAGGAAGTAATAAGAATTCTTTAGGGATTCAAGAGTGTTAAGATTAGATAAAGATAAGATAAGTAAAGATAAAGTAAAGTTTATTTTTGATTTACATTTCAATAATGATGTACAATAAGTTTCCTGGGATTTCCGGTTTATACGTATAAAAAATCTGAATTTGAAGAGCCGAATCATTCTAACTGTCTACTATGACGTTTACACGAAAACCAATGTCACTCGTTTCCATCTGTCTGTCGCCATACTTCTACCCCTGTAATCTCGGTATCAGCTGCACCAATATTAAAGAAAGGACATTAATGGTTTCCAATCAATTTGTTTAACAATTGAGTAGGATATATTTCTCGCATTTCTGAGCGAAAGTTCTCATGGGACCAAAGCAATCATATAATTAGTTTTTGAGCAATAGGGGGAGAAAATTCGTACAATTTGCAAAGATTGTGAATGTGCCGATTGTACTTTTCAGACTAAATACTCGGACAATTGTTATACTGAGGAAAGAAAAAAGGAGGGTATTAGGAGGTGTCATGTTGATCTTAGCCATGATCCTCACACGGTAAATTTAAGGGCAAGCTTATTCTTATACGTTGATAATGAAATGGATCTAGCACGAGTTTTTCAAGAAATGAGAAAAAATCACTCACACAGATCGATTCACAAGGGCATAAAAAAGTTGTGGTTGCTTAGTTGACTTTGGTTATGACCTTTACAAGGTCAGTTTTCAGGGTATGCTAATTTTGAAGGCGGAAGAGATAGAAAAAGGGCACTAACGAGCCTTAGGGTATTATCATTTATTGACTATATATTGGAGTTTTTATTTTGGTCTGCTTCCGGCATGTCGAACTGTTTAAACCAACTTCTAAGAAGGATAACGGAACTCCAATCTCGTGGAAAGCATATCAAAAAAATCACATGTGCCTGGGTTTAAGCGCCAGATTTACATCTGCAACAATGCTCATTAATTACTTTGATAAACCTGTCGATAAGATATCCATCCAATACGTTATTGGGTTTCTAAATTTGGTTCTAGTGGCGCTGATAATGCAGCATTAGCACCTCCTATAAATAATAATTGGAACAAAGTATATATTAATAAGAGCAGCAGCTCTCCAAGATTCAATACATGCAGCATTTGAATGGTTGTCTCTAGAAATTTAAATCGACTTTATGAGCATATTGACCTTTTTGCATATATGTAAGCTTCATTCCCCTATTTCTCAGAAACTTATAGGATAGCTTTGGTCTCATGAGAACTGTTGTTAAGAAAGATGAGAAATATATCATACTGAACTTGTAGACAAATCGACAGGGACTCATTTGCCATATGTTGTGTGCAATTTGCTTTGGGTTCATCGTAAGTAGTTAATGCTATTTCACCTTCGGAAATTCGCAAATTTTTCAAGTCATGTGTAAGAAACGAAAATGCTTCAACCGATCCTAAGATGTATCTACATCTTACAGCTTTCTGACAATTTTTGGGGTGGTCAATAATGTTTTGGTAGTTTCAAAGATTTGTACAATTTACAAAATGTACGATTTCCGCTTTGATCATTTTTGAGCATAGTTTGAAAAGTGCTTGAGAGACTCAGATTTTGAGGTTTGGCACATTTCATCAACAGAAAATTGAAAACAAACTTCGATGAATATAATAAGCACATGCGAATACGTGGGAAGTATTATCTACCTACTTGGCACCTTATTACATTCAATTTTCTCTGTGCTCCTGGGTGCGTGCATAAATGCCCATCAATTCCTGAATAATTTATCTTTTTCATAGGTGACGCCCCCAGAAGAGAACAGCCCTCCTCCGATTTCTAGCAACACCGCCTTGCTCTGTGGTACGCCAATGGCAGGCAGTACTTTGAGCTTGGCCGGCATAGGTCCTGCCCATCCTTTAGATCCATTTACTGGCCCCGCCCATCAGTTGGGCGTGCCCGAGTCAGCACCGGTCACGGCTCAGCAGACAGCCTTGCCTTCTCCGCAGGTAAGGAAATTGAAGTAAATAATAATATTATACAGTGTATTCAAATGCCATGTTTGTCGCGTCAAAACAAATACCAGTGCTCGACGCTTTAACTAGCATACTTCTATTGGCCAACAGGCATCCATGCTATCGAGTGCTTAGGTATATTTGTTTTGATGAGAAATAAATGAGCTTTGAATAGACTATAATAGGAATTAAAGTATTACACTTTTCCGTTCCATTTCAATATCTAGTCAATTCTCAACAAATATTTAAAAATATAAATGATGTGAGAAATTAACCTCCTATACTTATTACCATAAACATTCAAACATTTCTCAATTCAGCTTTTGAATCATCCAAGAACACTGCCTCCAGACCGTTAAACCAGTTGGTAAATGTTTCTTGGAACATGTCATTATTCTCTAAGCTTTTCCACCAAGAAGTACATTGAGTTATGGAGAAAGATGAATGTCAGGGCTGTATGGTGGAAGATCCAGTAATTATTATCGAAACTTGTTCAGTTATGTCTGTGTTCTTGCCGCAACGCGAAGCTGCGTGAAGCAGAATAACGCCGCTAAAGAGCAGGCACCGCCGGCGATTTTGGATAACGTGCCTAAGCTTTGATAAGCAGGCAGAGCGTCCGACGTTTGTCGATGGTCGCTACGGACTTCTTGGTCTGTCTGCAGGTATCTCTCTCTCGCCACGCCCTTTCTAGGTGCCTATACACTCATTCATTCATGGCCGTCTTGAGCTGACTCCTTATGCCCATCCTAGGCTAACGACCGATGCAACTGCTTCTGGTCGCCAGCCTATCCAGGCGATCTGCTTTCTCGTTGCCCGGCACTCCGCGGTGTCCGGGGACCCAAAGTAGGGTCATTTCTTTGAATCGGTCTAAACACTAAAGGGCAGTATTGGATTCCTTAACTGGGGCTGACCTTGTCCTCGGGGATGTCACCGCCTTCAGAGCTGCTTGACTGTCGGAGCGCAAAGTATGCTCCGCTTAGTGCACTGCTGAATTTCCTCTGAGATGTCACCGTTAAGATGGTAAATATCTCTGCCTGGAAGATTTCCTGCATGGCTTTGACTTGCAAATATATTTCTTGTAAAAGGATCCATCGGTGAAGTGTATGAGGCACTGAGGCGGGAAGGTTTTTTCTCCATACACCGATTCTTCCCTCAACGGTATGATCAGTGAATATTCTGATCTAATGGCGGTCTTGGCCCTTTACAATTTTATCGAAGATATGAGAAGATTGCTCTCCGTCACATCCACGATCTTGGAATAACCAGCCACCGGTTCTTGCATCGCCCACGTGCCCCTCATAGCGAATCTTAAAGCTATGTACAGATATGTAACAACACCGGGAACCGAACCACACGACGAATCTCGCCGCGCTAGTGTAGACGGTGAAATAAACGCCATCGCGAACATGATAAGCGTTACAGCTCGCCGTTCGGCCCGATTCAGACTCTGTCGGTTTTTTCGCGTAACATCAAAGCAAAAGCTCGCGACGAAGTTGCACATGTTCAGATAGGGATATCGGTGCGGCGAGCACGCACTCATATCAGTAAATGGATAGAGCGCATGAAGAAAAGATGGAATGGTCGGAGGAGAAAACTCTTTTGCTTATAGAGCATTACAGACCAGGGGAATTGTTATCGGTTGCAAAACATACCCTGCATTACAATAAATAAAAAAAAATGAGGTCTTTCACTGAGCGACAAACAAATTGGATCGTCATTTTGTTGCGCGATGTGGTTCGGTTTGTCGTGATGCTCGTTGCAATGTTGTTCGTCAAAATACGCGCGCTGCGGTTCGTCGCGTGGTTCGGCTCGCGGTGTTGTTACATATCTGTACATAGGTTTAGGTATGCCGCCATGGCCTCCTGCTTCATACAGGAGTCCAATGATGGTAGTTCCAGAATATCGTCAAGGGCTGCTGAAGGGGTTGTCCTCATCGCGTCAGGTCTTTCCGATACATGGCCACCAGACCACGCATCCATACTGTATAGTCCTTACCACCGTCGTGTAAAGTCAATGCAGGACCTTTGGCCTTAATCATTAGGTCCTGTCAACTGCCCCTCAATACCGACTGAGACGTGAAAGTGGCGGAATAGTGAAAGACTGGTCAAGCTTGTCTGGGGTTGAAGACGTCACATGACAAAATGCATGGTACGATGCGCAATCGGTTCTTACTTTCAAAATGACCCTCCCAACTTTAAACTGTCAACGAACAATCTAAGTATTCTAGTCCAGAGAGTGAACAGACCATAACTCGGATCTTCATTGACCTATCCAACAAGTGTGTGTTTAATATATATTGACCTACAGATATCTAATCAGCACAACTGATGATATTAACTAAATGATATTACTTAATTCGCAATGGTTTATTTTATCTAGCGACTCTGGTCACTTTGAACATTTTTTTGTCGAAATGCAGACTTTGCATACATATGCTTTTACTTCCCACACTCCCGTGCCACTTAGCCAGGAAGAACTGTAATCGCAGAAAATTTTGGAAATGAAAACCGCGTCACTCATTTCTGCCGGTGTATGTCAACCTATCTGTCTGCCTGTTCGCTGATCCTTGGCCCCTCTAAAACCTGCATAGTACCCTCCAGATTTTGATAAAGCTTTTAAACAAGGCAACTAGTATACTAACAATGAAAAAACCTTGTATTTTCTGAAAGTAGGTCCAATTGCAGCAGAGAATTATCATCGACACTCTATACTAAGGTGTGATTCAGCGTGACATCCCATATATACTGATAAGGCTAAAACTATGGTTGAAACACACCCTAATTTGTTGAAAAACCGATTATGTCTAACAACGATCTAGTGAATAGGTTAAAATGCCATTTGACATCTGAGTTGGTTATAGGACAACAATAATCTTAAGGGATAACAAACAATAGGTATACTCTGCATGCCCCTTCTAGGTTTAGATTCGTTCGAAAAACATGATAATGTCCATAAGGGCATATTGTTGCTTTCTTTCCGGCGATAAATATAAAAAAAAATAGAAAATTTTTGATTGATAAAGAATTGGTGATGAGCGGTTGTGGGCATAGGAGAACATTTTGTCACTCACAGTTTAACACGTACATTTGTCTTTACGCCTTTCGATGATTTTCAATATATTTTCAACATTCACGTCGAACGCATCAAAAATAGGGGATAAATTTGGCCTGGCGCATCGGAAGCGACCTTCATAGATCGTAACATTGTCAAATGAGTGGTGGCTAGTAACTAATTACTGGGCGCATGAGCGGATCAAAAGAAACATTTGAGATGAGGATCTTCTGAGAGCGGGGGATATCGGCAACTGAATATTGAACAGCGGGGGCTAGCGGTGGCTGCATCATGCCTCCTACGATCAACTGCCCTTGTACACTTGAAGAGCGAGGGGGATATTAGTGAATTCCCTGCAATTGTATCTTTTTCCAATGATATTTTGGGGTGTAGGGACCGGTCCTCTAGTCCCCTAACATAATATTTTAAGAACTGATGCGTGGGGAGTGCAGATGAGTCAACCAACTTGACCCCATTTTTGCAGCTATTTTTTTTATGATATCCTTGATCTACAGAACGAAACCGTTTTCAAAAATCGTCAAACGACAAAATAGTATTAAGTGCTCACTGCGATTGTGCCTCTGGCGGTTACTACTACCAAGCTCGGGAAGCTGGAATATTCATTCTGGCATCCGTGCCAAGGGCGTATCTAGGATTTCGTCTAGCCTCAGTGCAACTTCCAGAATTTATCCTATTATTGCTCCTTAAATCCATTGTGTTTTATGTGGTCAACGCCAGCTTGAAAACAAAAACATGGAGGTGCTCAGAAATCCTCAGAAAGGCAATATTATATTTTATGAAAACAAAATAAGTACGTGGCATTTATAATTAACTTCTGTAATAATACTAAAGATTCAAACATAAAAAGTTCCATTGCTCTGTTAACCGAAAATAAATAAATAAAACATTCTGAGGGGCCCAGAGACATATCCCAGTCCATTTCACACAAAACAATGTCTTTGATTGCGAAAACGAACATGAGACCAAAAAATTCACATTATCGTATGGACGCTAGACAAGACAAAGAAGGATGTCTATAGACTATCTATAGATCCTGCCTTGAGACCGTTTCCAGTCTGCCTATAGAGAAATTGCGCAACGGGGTCTACTAGTATGTACTAAGCTTAAGGATTAAAACTCTAAACTGCCCATTGAACAGATCAAGTAAATGGTGCAAATATTGACACAATCAAACACTTATATTATATCAGCAGGTGATAAAAATATCAATAGGTATAGCCAATTATTATTTTTTTTATACCGAAGCAGCCGCGCAGGCAGAAGCCTAAATGCCGGGACACCGCGGCTGCTATGATGATCCCATATAAATTTTGTTAACCCGATTTTTGAGCTGCCTGAGGTTAGTAGAGTCGAGGCGGCAGCACCCCCAACGTGTGAGCAATACTCGAGGCTAGGCCTCAACTGGGCCTGTAAACAAATAGCCTAACTTTTTCTCAGCAACTGCCGCTATGGATGAGACGAAATCGTGCCGGATCAGGTCCTCGATGATCTAGACTCCGACCTATCGAAATGAATGGCTCTTTGGCAGAACTCGGCCATCCATCGGATGCGGATGAGCTTTAGGACGCTTTTTGTTTCTTCAAGGTACAGCAGTGTGTTTTGGAAGCATTAAGCTGTACAAGATTGTTGCGTCCCCAAGCAGTGGTAACCTCCAGGTCTCTTGTCAGAGAGGAAGTCGTCGCTAGTCTTCTTTTTTCCAGCTCAGCGGCAGAGATCGGCTTGTTACTCTGAATTCCTGCATGCAGAGTGCTGTCATCAGCGAAGCTGTGGATTGGGTTGATCGTGCAGGAAAGGAGGCCGTTGATATGTAAGAGGAACAGTGTTGGAGTCAAGACCGATCCCTGGGGAACACCCGCGTTGACGTTGTGGGATGAAGAGGAGAACCCGTCAACTACGACGTATATCTTGCGGCCAGAGATAAAGTCAACCACCCATCTGCAATGCTTTTCTGGGACGCCATAGTATGGAAGTTTGCTTAAAAGGGCAGCGTGCTACAGCTGATCGAACGCTTTCGTGATGTCAAGAGCAACGACATAAGCCTCAACCATAAGACTGGATGAGTTTACTCCACAATTACGTGACGTAAGCCAGGAGGTCCCCTGTGGACCGCTGGTGCTGGAAACCATACTACCTGTCGCTAATCAAGCTGTGACGTTCGAGTTACTTATAACAGAAAGCAGATCTATAGGCCTGTAGTTGTAAGGGTCGGTCTTAGATACCTTTTTCGGGATGGGTTTGACATGAGCGAATTTCCAGTTTTCTGGGAAAGTTAATGTTCAAGAAGTCGATCTTGACGGCGGGGTATTGAAGCAGGTCATCCCAGTTATGGTTCGAGGGAGAGCGATAAAGACAGCAAATAAATTTGGGGGATGTTTTGGAGTTGAGGCAGCAAAGGCTGCGGACAAAGGCCACGATTCCTCCATTCTTTCTCAGATTAGAATGCACCTCGTAATTTGGGAAGCTAAGATGGTTAATCGGCGCAGACTGTAAGATTTTTGTCTCCGCCAAGAAAAGCAGGGCGGGACGATTGGATTGCAAGTAGTGATGAACAGCATCAATGTTGATGTTAATCCCGCAGATGTTCGTGAAACAAATTTTATCTTCGATGTTGTTCCCCCGAGTCCACCCTCCAGCCGGACATTCCGAGAGTGGAGTGAGTGTACGTCCGGAATTTTTAGTGCTCGAGGGATCCATCATCATTAATTTCTTTGTTTTGGAAGATAACCGACTGCATAGCTTTGGTGTGGAAGCATGCGGACATTTATAAGACACCCTGCGAAAAACTAGCGGGTGGTACCCCCTCGGTCGACTGGTCCTTCCCTGCCACCTTTTTGCATGTTAATGACATCAAATAGACCTAAAGTGGCACGTGACTTGTACCGCCACCCGGCAATGGGTACTAAGGTATTCCTTAACGCGTGTACAATCACTTGAACGGGAAGAAGTTGTATACTGGATATAACAACTTCCGGAACAAGAATATTTGCCACGGCCCAGCTCAGTAGGGGTTGGAGTTTTTTAAATTAATATAGATGTTACAGTTATTTTTCAGACTTTCGTTGTCGAACTTAGATTTACGGCATAGTTGTTGTTTTCGCAGTTTTCGAACCGGCGTTGATCGCATGTAAAAATCCTTGGAAAAAAATTATATCTGTTAGGTCGGAATTATTTTGATAATGTATGCTTGTACGAAACAAGTACAGGAATTCAGGGCTGTACATATTCACGTGTAGTGTAGAAGCTCTTTGATTAAACGAATTCAATATAGCAACATAAATAGACACATACGCGAGAAGAGATGCTGGACGTGTGGTATTGACTTTGAGCATCGATCGACGCAGCTTCTAGACAGGCCACAGGCGCACCACATAAACAAATCTCATGTCAATTTCCAATTTAGGCGTTCATCTAACATAGTGCTTCGCTGCAACACCAACCCCGAACAAGATCAGTCAAGCTTTACACACTTCAAATTACAATTGAGCAACAAACAAAACCTAAATCACTTTTTAAATGCAATCTGTATACCTAATATATTACCCAGACTCAGATTTGTCACAAGTCACAATACTCGTATATATATATATATATATATATAATATATGTACGTAAGAATTGTGCTGAAAACAAGTGATGTCAAAGAGGGACAGCATTTGGAATACCAAAGGATACCAAAAAATCGTAATGCTCAGTTCCTATAACTATAACTTATAGTTAGTATGCCTCTGTCGTCATGATGTGTCAGAAGGTAACACTGGTGTTAGATTACCAAAGCAAGTGTTAGGGGGCTCGCGCCTTTCTTAAGGACGTCATATTGGATTTTTGCACAGACGGATAGAGTTTTTAATTCTGATTCCAAAAATGCATAACGTGCCATACCTTCCTAGGTAAGCGTTGAAATTTGTTTGGATTACAAGATTAATCACAAAAGCATTTTAATGGACGACATTTTGGATTTTTGCATAGATGAATAGTGTTTTTAATTGTAATTCCTAAAATACATAATATGTCATACATGGACATTAGCAAACCTTAGTTATTTCAAAAAAAAATAGAATTTCCTATATAACTTGAAATTATTAGATAGTCATTTCTTCCGTATACCGGATTTATTGAAAAAAGTTGTTTATTTCCTGGTTCTATTTGAAATGGGATTTTGGAATAAATTGCATATGTATTAGCATTGCCACTCTTTCTCCTTTATAGTCAAATTCTCATTAGACGTTTCTGGTTTCGATCTCCATCCTCAACTTTTTTTTCTCTTATAGACTATTTATATTCTGTGCAATCGGACCCAATTTGTGATTCTGTGTTTAGTTATGAAAATAATGCATTCATTTATGTCACACATTTAATTGAAGTAACATATTCTTAGTAGTTTTTAAATCTACAAAATTCCAATATAGCGTTAATATGGAAAACAAAGTAGGTGACGGAAATCGAAAGAAAAAACATCGAATTGAAAATTTGAACACGCGTTCTTGTAGAGGCGGATAACATGCAAAATGATTTTATGGTAAATCTGGTATACGAAACAAATAACTACGAGGGATGCATTTCAAGTTTTGCATATAGAAACATAGTAGGCCTTGCGGATCGAACGTCAGTACTGAATCTTAACTTCACTCTTTAGTAAACTTAATTTCAAAGTTTCACAACAATACGTGCAGTGTTCTCACTACAGTGAATTTTTAAGTATCACCAAGGCATTAGAAAAATGGAACTCAACCGAGAACATTTTCGCGCCATAATTTATTACAACTTTCAGAGACAATTACCGCAACAAGAATGCCTTGCTGTCTGTTTTCGGCAACGAAGCACCACATCAGTCGACAATTTCCTGTTGGTATGAAGAATTCAAACGTGGACGGGTGAGTCTTAGCGACGACCCCAGGATGGGTGCACCAAAAACGGCAGCCACCCAGGAAAACGTCGATGCTGCGCGCAAACTCATCATTGAAGATAGACATGTGACATATCGCTAGATTGAGGCGTCCTTGAAGATCTCAAAGACCTCAATTCAAAAAATTTTACATAAAGAATTAGGAGTAAGGAAATTAGTTTCTCGTTGGATACCCCACCTGTTGACTGAAGAGCAGAAAGCAGCCAGGGTTAGTTGGTGTCAAAAAACGCTAGACTGTTTCGATTCCGGAATCTCAAAAAATGTGTACAGCATTGTTAGTGATGCTGAATCGTGGATTTACTGTTATGAACTAGAAAATAAACGACAGTTGGCTGTTTGGGTGTTCCAAGGTGAAGAAAAGCCAACAAGGTCATCCGCTCTCGACGTGTTTCGAAAAAGATGGTCGCGACATTTGTGTCAAAAGCGGGTCATATTGCAACAATTCCTCTTAATGAGCAAAGAATTGTTACTGCGGATTGGTATACCACCATTTGTTTGCCAAAAGTCATCACCGAGCTTCGAAAAATCAACCACGAAAGAAGAATCATCCTCCACCAAGACAATGCAAGCTCGCACACAGCCCAAAAAACAAGGCAGTATTTAACGGAAGAAAACGTGGAATTATTGGAGCATCTTCCATATAGTCCCGACCTAAGTCCTAACGATTTCTTTACTTTCCAGAAAATTAAAAACAGACTACGTGGTCAAAGGTTCCAGTCACCAGAAGAAGCTGTTGACGCATTCAAAAATGCCGTTTTGGATCTGCCAGCAAACCAGTGGAATAAGTGCTTCGAAAATTGGTTCGAACGCATGCAGATGTGTATTAATCTTGGTGGAGAATACCTCGAAAAACAATAAAGTCATTTAAAACTACCTACCGTGTTGTTTTATTTCCATATACAAAACTTAAAAGACATCCCTCGTATCTGACAATTTTAAGACCTACGTAGGGAATACTTTTTTTTAAATAACTCAGGATTTGCAATGTCAGTGGATGACTCTTTTTCAATTTTTGGAATCAGAATTAGGAACTCTATCCATCTGTGCAAAAATCCGATGTGGCATCCATAAGAAAAAATAAAGTTGATGCTGGAGGACAATAGACAAAACGGCAACTTGAAACTCCGAGTACCCAATCTTGTAGAGGAGAAAAAATGGCATGTTAATGTGCAATTCATTTTTAAATCCCACTACATAAAAAGTCACTAAAACACTGAAACGATTCCGGTTCTTTTCATCTATCTCCGGAAGTGCTGTGAATTTCTAAGCGGGAGTTTGTTTCAGAGATCCTAATTGTGAGGGTAGAATTTAAAAAACCCGGTATAAAGTAAAAATCCCTGACACTAGTATAGAACTTGCAAGCTTAAAAACTCAATTTAGACATATTGACTAATATTATAAATGCTCCTGGTTGCCAAAAGAAACTTATTTTTCACCAAAAGTCTTGTGTTAATGTTTTTATGAATGACAAATTTCAGATTATTTGCTCGAATCCTTTTCCTGATTAATCTATATAATTCTTGTTTCAGGCGGATCCACAGCATCTTCAAGGCACCATCGTATGATATAACCTAATGTGGGGGAGGAGAACGTCCGGTAGTCTCAGAAACAAGTGGCTTTAAGAACCACGTCGGAACGAATCTCCTCGCTTCCACAGTAGTGTTCTGCGCTCTGTAGGCTATACTGATCTCCTTCGTCAAAACATTTTTTAAATGTAGCCTGGAATGGTTTCAAATTCCCAAGATGGATGGGCTTTACAGGACTTATGTTGTTCTCAAATATCCGTCAACATCCACAGACGATATGACATTATAAAGGATCTTGGATATTATAAAGCACCTGGCAAATTTCTAGGATTGATTCTTTGGGTAATTATAAAACAAAAGCCTAATATGAACATACGCCCGCCAATGATTCGTTCTTAAGATGCAGCGAGTAAATTATTTTGAAGAAAGTATTTTTACTCAAAAACCTTAGTAAACTCCAAGTTGATTTGGTTGAAATTCGGCGAATGTGGTATAACGCACCAAAAAAATCAATATTATTCCGTGTTAATGATAGTTCCATAAGCGGGGCTCTAAAAGCCCCCGAAAACAAAATTCCAACAGTTTCACTGGTGATGGTTATTTGTGATTGTATTCAAGTCATTTCTTTTGTTTAATTTTGTTTCAATTGCTGATGTCAAATGTGCATTCCAAATTAATTTTTTCTATTAAGTCGGATAAAAACACAATTTTATGTATCTTCAGAGCAACGCATTACCGGACCTATAATTACATTTACCTTAGATCTTAGAAATACTCGAGAAATGTCCTTTAAGTCTGACCAGGTACTTTACTAACATTGTAGTTGTCTTGTTTGATTACGCTGGTTACATAATATTGCAAGGGAATTTAAAAAAACAAAAAAGTTATACTTATCGTACGCCACTGCTACGACGGTATATATTTGTGCGCGGGCCTCAGCGTACTCAATAACACTCCGCGTTAACAGTCGCGTAGGATGCATTATTTAGATAAAGCGATTAAATTTTTGATTATGGTGAGCGGTATAGCGGTAGCTTAGCCAGTACTATAAAAAATGCGCAGACGTAGAGGTTTTGCAGTCTGGTGATAGTAGAACTGTAGGTGAGAAATGAAAACCAAAAATAAGTTAACTATATGAGCTTCTTATCGTAAGGTGGAGTCACAAGGCAAATATAGTGTGAATTTTTCTAAAATATCCACCATCAATAGATCATGAAACCATGTTCTGATATTATATAAAATGCCACAACCGTGAAAGTTGGACCAAAAATGGGTACCGGCTTTAATTTGCAAATATTTCCGAAGTTCAATCAACTCAATGTGATTTCCGAGTAGGTAAAAGGTAGTAACAAAAATTTACACTATTTAGGTACTGCCTAAATATGTCACAGCTAATCTTGCTGCAGTTCTACTCAACCCGATTAAAATTTTGGCCTTATACATTTTTCTATCAGAATTCTAGACTGATAAACGAAATTGATTTCTATACTTAAATTAGGCAATTCATCTTTATGGCGCCAAATTTTTATGTAATGAATAGATAAACATTTTCTGTAAACAGTACTGCTTCAACACTTTTCATGTAAAAAATAAATGAAAATTTCTCATCATTACTGCACATTTGAGAAAAGTGCTGAGATAGCATAATATTGTAAGCCTGAATTGAATTTGAATTTTAATTAATACGCCACTGGACGTAGATGGTACTGTAATCGCGAAAAATTCTAAAATCAAATATTTAGATGTATTTTGAATGAGATATTAGTACATCACGAAAACCCATGTCACTCACTTTATGTGAACCTCGAATGTCACAAGTTCAGCACCCTCTCAAAACTATTCCTTTATTTCCTGTTTCATTGATTTGACGATTTTTTACGTTGCGGTTGGAACTGTACTGCTTACAATTTAAATAAAATAGTATAAATTATCCTAGTAACTAGTCTGTAAATAGGAAATATTGACGATATTGAAATTTATTGGTTACTGTCAAACGTAACGTGAATCTTCCAAAGAGCCCTAAAAAGCCGGCTTTAACGTTCCGATACGTTGAAAGAGGGATCAAATAATGTAGTTAGATATATTTATGTGACACTGTTAGTTCTGGTAGCAGTCTGTAAAAGAACCTCGTTACTTTGAACATTACTAGGTAGACCCAGGTTCTATAATGCTTTATTTATATCCCAGACAAAATCTTTTGTACAAATGTTGATTCGAAGTAGGTTTTTTAGCATAACTAGTGTTACTAGCAGTAAGTTCGATACGTTAGCACGGAAATGTTAAAGCATTAATATAAAATCACTATGTGACTCACGAGGTCAAGCAAGATTTTTATCGTAGAATAGTTTAAGACGTGTAAAAGTTTTAGCACGACTCAGCTCTTTTTTTTAATCTTTTTGTAGGCAATCCGGTGTGGATACCAAAAAAATCTTCAGGCGTACGGTTTTAAGGCTGCTACACACAGTGCCGGCGGCAGGGCCGCCGGGCAAGCCGCCAGCTAAGCCTCCGTGCACACGGCGGCATACAAAGCCGCCGGCCTTGCCGCGCAAAGGACCCGCCGGGGTGTGCCGGCGGGTTACGCGGCTTGCCGGCGTCACTTCGTTCCTGGCATTCGAGAGGTAGTGTTGTGCGGTTCTATGTGCGTTCTATGTGACTGTCACAACCGGAATGATGCTTGGCGGCTTGTATTGCCGACAGCTTCAAAAGCTACTACACACAAGCCGGCGGCAATGCCGCCGGGTTTATGCCGAGCGGCTATGCCGCCGGCAATACAAGCCGCGCAAAGCCGTCAAGCATCATTCCGGTTGTGACAGTCACATAGAAAGCTAGTGAAGTGCTGCATTTCTGGGATTCCATAATATATCATTTTCATGAAATTTTTCAATTAAGCAGCACAGCTTCGTCGTCCCAATTAAACGACATTTTAATTTGTTTAAACACACAAACCGCACAACACTACCGCTCGAATGCCAGGAACGAAGTGTCGCTGGCAAGCCGCGTAACCCGCCGGCACACCACGGCGGCTCCTTTGCGCGGCAAGGCCGGCGGCTTTGTATGCCGCCGGGTGTACGGCGGCTTTGTATGCCGCCGGCACTGGGTTTAGCAGCCTTTAGAGATTAGTTTATTTTACAGATACGATGCAGGACCGAACTGGGGCTTTTCAATCGGTTAATTGCTATAGATTCAGATGATTTAGAATAAAGAACTCAAGTCAGAGCAATTTAATATGTTGGATGCTTCTCCTGGCGCCGTTTTGTATGGAGAGACTCTAATAGCACATCTCGTAGTAATATCTCGATCTACTGGAGTATGTACACGTGACCATTATTATGATTATTATAGTATTTTTGGGTTGAGATGACAGTTAAAATTGAGCTATAAAAGCCTTACATTCAAGTTGAGATTGAACATATTTCTGACTGGCTCTCCCTATTAACGAACGTTGATAGAAACTGCATTTTAACGGATTTGTGAAGGCAAATAGAGTGTTAGGGAATCTGGGCCTAGAAGACACATGACTCAATTGTCGAATATCAAACCATTCATAACATTCTATAGAACCACAATGCTTTGCAAGCATGAAACTGACAAAGCAAAACAAAGAAAACTAATAGTATGATAAATTCCTGAACACTTAGTGATATATAAATAAGTGGTACCTAGTGACGAGAGATGTAGTCACGTTATCACAATAATGGTGGAATTCAAAGAAATATAATATTTAGCAGTTTTCATGTAACGTGGATTTGTAAAGGAATTGGGCATTGTATTTTGTTATATAGGTAACAAGCTATCACAAATGATGATCAAAATATATGAAACAAATAAAAAACTCAACGATACATCCCTATGTAATTAATTATGTGTATTAGTTAGTAGGAAATGTAAATAGATATTGTGGCAAAGTATGTAGCAAGTATTTGGACCGAAAATTGAATATACAGGATGATTCATAACTCGTGACCAAAAGTGAAACATCACACCGCATTTTAAGAGGGGTCTTACATGTAAAAAATTTTCCTCGAGGGCTTCATTAAGAATGTACGGTTTGTTGAAGTTTACAAATAAAAAAACATTTTTTTAATATCTTCAAATCCGTCAACTGGATTGAACTAAAATTAGATATGTGGATTTACCTAAGTATTGTCCACATTCAAAAGTCTTTACTTAAAATTAACGTGCACCAGTGGCGGACATACAGGAGATTAGTGGCATTATTTTTTCAAATAAAAGTTTTACGCCACCGTCTTTTTTTTCGAAACGCGCAATTTTTCGAATTCTACCTTCAATTTGTTATAAATAATTGTTCTTGTGTTTTTTCATAGCGTGCATTGTTTTTGTAAAAATAAAAAAAAACAAATTAGATAATCAAAGCTTTATTTCAATAGATGTTCAAAAAGGCCACCACCCTGACGGATACAAGTGCGGCATCTTTTTTATAAAGAAAAACGTATTTCCGCAAAATTGCCATTACACAACCTGTACACAAAAATATTGGCGTAATCATCATTGCTAAATTCCATTTCACAACACTCAAAAATGGAAAAAGAAACTTTTGACTTGACTTTAACAAAAGAAAAATGGTAGTAGTAACTATAACAACCGAATAACACATAACTTTGAAGAAACATCAAGTTGGTATCAACTCCTCCTATTTTATTTTGAAACTAATTGTATCTCGGCTCTTCATGAATGATCTAGTTTATTTTATTTTTATTGTTACGAAATCAGTGCACTCTAGGAAAAAACACAAGGGTAATTAAATAATTATTATCATATTGAAGGTAAATTTTTAAAAATTGCTCGTTTCGAAAAAAAACAGTGGAGTACTATTTTTATTTGGAAAAATAATGCCACTAATCCCCTGTATCTCCGCCACTGGTGCACGTTAATTTTAAGTAAAGACTTTTGAATGTGGAGAATACTTAGGTAAATCCACATACCAAAATTTAGTTCATTGCAGTTGGCGTTTTTGAAGATATTAAAAAAAATGTTCTTTATTTTTAAAAGTCAACACCCTGTATCTTTTTAATAAAGCCCTCGAGGAAAAATGATACATCAAAGATCCCCCTTAAAATGCGGTCCTGTGTATGATGTTCCATTTTTGGTCACGACTTGTCAATAACCCTGTATGTGTGTCATTAAGGGATATATGTTGAACTTAAATTTCGGACAATAGTACGAAGACCTATTTATTTAGCAGGGTTACATAAAAATGAACAAGGTGTGAGCTGTAACAAGTATTTGGTATATTGTGGGTCTTTATATGAAAAGTTACTGCGTCACTTACTTTTAAAGTTTATGGACTGAACTGCTTTCTTTCATCCACAATTTAGCAAAGTGATGTTCTGTAGGTTTATCAAATTTATCATAGCTCTGCCTTAAATGAACAGAAAGTAGTCTTTTGATTTTCGAACATGTAAACTCTTCGCCTTGTAGTATAGCTAAACCGTCCATGCAAAAACGCAAATGTGAAGAGAGAAAATCATACTGCTACACTAGGCCAGAATAGATGGTTTCTGTATTTTCAATATTCTTATAAAATGATATCAAGTCTTTATACGTTTTACAAAAAGCTGCACACTCTATTGAAAAATAAGCTATAGTTTGTGAAACAGTTCACACCGAACCACAAAGGGTATTTGATATCAAAAACTGTCATACGAATAAATATTTCGCCGTTAATAGAAATAACAGATTGGATTTTATCGAAAATTATGGTGTAATCTTATTGCTATATTTGAGATTTCCAATACAACAAAATACATTTATTCGAACATGATCCATATTTGATATTTTCTGCACATTCGCGTTTTTATCTGTCCTCTGTACATATCTTAGTGGAAAATGCAAAGATATAGTCAACTGTGTTAAGCATGTCGCAACGAGTTGAGGGCTGTTTTCGTCGTTGTCAGAAAAGCTGACAGTATAGTACAATTGGAACAATAGGTTACTACTAAGGAAGCTGTGAGGATGTTTCAACCACAATTGTGTAAACCTCACATCTATAGCCATAAAATAATCCTATAAAAACGAATTGTGAGTGGTTAAAAATACTTAATAAAAGGAATTATTTATTCAAATTCAAAAATTATTGAGAATACTAAAATCTTTCCACAAGGTTATTGTGGTTTGATCACAACTTTTTTCTACAAGTTGTGTGTTTATACAGGGTGACTTTGAAGTTGAGTCATTAATTTTCAGATAATGATTGTAGAAGGAAGATAAACCAAAATATGTGTGTAAAAATAAAAAAATAAATAAAAAAAAATGTTACCTTGTTTAATAAAGTATCGCCCCGACAAGTATTTCAGTGCGGACCTGTATTTGATCGTGCGGTCTTGGAGCAGCATGCCCTGACCTGTGAGGTCTTAAGTCACCTGATTCACGAGCCCTTTGCACTACATTAACAAAGGCACGAGGGGTTGGTTGCACTCGATTGGGAAAGTAAATAAGAATCATGTCCGCAAGTTCAGCATTTTCGTAAACATGTGCCATTTTTGATTTCGTTTGAGCCACGCAACAAACACTCCTATTCACTAACGCGTTATCGACTGACGAAAAACATCGTGATAAACGTTTCAAATTCTTTCGCTTTTTTGTTTCCGATGCGATGAACCGGTCAGGCGGATTATATCCGTTGTCGCCAAACACGAACACATTATTATTGAGACAGGGCAGTACTCAAACTTCCAAAGGGCTATAACTTTGTTACTTTAATTTTACCAGAAAAATGGTAAAGGAAAAAAACATTTCTTTTGATCAGATCTACTCACTGTTAAAATAAATGACTCAACTTCGAAGTCACCCTGTATATAAACAATTATTAACTGCAGATAAAATTATACAGGGTGTTCCATAATTATTGCGACAAAATGATAGGGGTTGTAGAGGACATCAAAATGAACAATTTTGCCTTATAAACCCCTGTTCGGAAATATGCCGTTTGGGCTGCAGCAAAAAAAAAGATCAGTTTCTTGAAACA